ATATATATATTTATTATTATTGTTCTTTCTTAGGTCTTTGGAAAAGAGGGGAACGTACCAAATATTATAATTGCTGTAAGTATTGCTGTGTTGTACTGTATTTCACTGTGTTGGTCCTGGCTTCTCAGTAGCCTCCCAGTATAGATGTGCATTGTGCCTGAATATACTGGTAAAAGAGATGTTGATTGTAGCGTCCTAGGGCAGTGTTCTTGGCAGAATACACAAATAATGAACAACTTTCTGTTAAAAACCTGACCTGGCCCCTCAGGTGCCCGTTGAAGCGTCTCTTGTGCTTTTTCCCTGCAGTGTTTCTCTCTGTTGGAGGCAGGATCCTGAACTCGGGCAGTCTCTACTCTGATGTTCTCTCTTCAGTTCCTCCCTTGCAGCTTTTTTTTCATGAGCAGAGAGCACTGTAGAGACTACAGCCTAGAAAATGACATTAAACTTACCAGCACTTGCTGCATTGTTCTATTTTTCTAGGGTCCCCCAGGAACAGGTAAAACTACCAGTATCCTCTGCTTGGCTCGTGCTCTGCTTGGTCCTGCATTAAAGGATGCTGTTTTGGAGCTGAATGCCTCAAATGACAGGTGAGAATAAACCTTATTAAGCCTTCAATGAAGAAGCAAGTATCCATTTTTATTTTTAGTTCAACTCAGGCTGGCTTGATAGGTTTAATACCATAGTAAGGCCTCTAATACTTACTTCAATGCAGTTTCTCCAACTAAAGGACAATCTTTGGTGTCCACCTGTCAACATAGATATTATTACTTGATGTTTTATAAACTTGATACTTTCATACACAAAAATATGACCAGATGGAGTGCAGCATCCATAACGGCACTGTTTTCTTGAATTTACTCTAAAGAGTTAAGCTTCTTGCCTTCATGAAGATCCTCCAAAGAATGAAAAATGAACAAGTTGTTTGTAGTGGAACTCTTCAATGCTTAAGGGAAGAAATAAAGTGATAGAAATCAGTGCTGTAAGGGCAGTTGATGATTAAAATGTAGAATAAGGGTGTTAGGTATGTAGAGGACACTGACTCTACCCCAAGGATCAGGCACTGAGGGCTGATTATGTTTCCCAAGTTCTGTAGCAGACCCATCCTGAAGTATTCTGAGGACAATTCCTGGAAGGTTGTTTATGAGTACAATACATTTTGCCTGCTTCTGTTAAAATTAGTTATAGAAGAGCTCTAGTATCACAAGATTCATTTTCTAAACAGAACAAAACAGTAAAGTCCTTTATTTTTAAAAGTAAGTCTTTGTTGGAACTCTGTCTAGGAAAGTAGTGTCTGTGCTATGCTAAAATGATGCAGTCTGTCCAGCTGTTTTTCTTAAACTTTACTGAGTTATAGTTGGGTCTGTGGATGCGGCTGTGGGAGGCACTGGCAAAGCAACAAAGCAGGATGAAATGCTTCTGCCCTCATTCATTTATTACCCCTATCTTTTGCCAACCATAAGTAATTTTGTGGCAGTACTCTCAGGTTACTGATATATATTTACTGATATTGTTAAAATCATTTCTCAGAACCTCCAAAAAGGAGGAGCATTGGTGTTTAAATCTGAGTCTGTTAGGCAGCCTGGCTTGCAACGTGGTTTCACAGCAGATATACTGGCACAGCTGAAGGGGCAGGAACAAACAGCAGGAGAATAGGGAGCTCAGGAGCGCTTCCAGCCACTGTGGCTGCTGAATAAAATCCATTATGTAATTTCACCCAACTGATCATGAATAATTTCAATTATTCTTCCAGAGGCATTGATGTTGTCAGAAACAAAATCAAAATGTTTGCCCAGCAAAAGGTCACACTTCCAAAAGGTCGACATAAAATAATCATTCTGGATGAAGCAGACAGGTATGTTAGTTTTTTCTTGACATCAGCTACTATGTGAAATGTGTTGCCTCTATCCTGTCTGCAGAGCTGCTGTCTTGGACAGTCTTAGATGTTTCTATCAGGCTATCAAAATATCAGGAAATAAATATGCATTGAATAGTGTTCTTAGAAGGTTACTCATGTCAACCAGAGATCATTGCTTCAAAGGAGATGCTGAATATTGTGGTGAAACATTTTGTGATTTAGCTGGGTGTGAATTAGCGTCTTCCAGTATACTGGTTCTTTCTCTTTTCAAAGAGTCTGGCTTACCTAGACAAATTTCACTGGATGAAAATAGAACATTCTTCTCCATCTGCATGTAATTAGTAGTATTATTAGCAGTATTCTTCAGAATATTAATGGTTTAATTTTCTGTATTAGTTTTATGGAGGTCTCAGTGACTACCTGCATTGCGGGGTGATTTGTTCACATAACTAGAAAAAGCTGATTAGTTTACCAAGCCAGAACATCAAGTAATTTACAAAGCACTCTCTAAAATCAGTAAACTCTGAAGCTTGTCTAAAAATAGGTATTAGGCTGCACCTATAAGTCAGTGAAATCTGTCCTAACTCCTTTTCTCCCCCAGCATGACAGATGGAGCACAGCAAGCACTGAGAAGAACAATGGAAATTTATTCCAAAACAACGCGCTTCGCACTCGCCTGCAATGCCTCTGACAAAATAATAGGTAAAGTGCTGCTAGTCCCTGGCCATTTTTGTTGTATGTTCTCCATACTGTTGGCTAACTTCCACGGCAGTTTTCAGCAATACCTTGGACCTGCTCATTGCAAGAAACCATGGTACTTCTGAAAAATCAAACCACCTGTACATCCAGCTAATGAAAGAAGAGTATATTTGTGTAGCCAGTGAACCCTCTGAACAGCTGGTTTTGATGGACAGTGCTATGAGTGACTGCAGAAGCAGATTTGTCATATTTTGGGCTTAATCTCTGGCCAACTGTGCTACAGTTTAAGCTGTTTGATGTTTTGTTTACTGGGTATTGAACCCCTTTTGTTCTCCTTTCTGAAACATATTAAGTTTGCCTGTAGGCTAACACATTGTAGACCTTTAGACTTTTCTTGTTTAGCTGTTAAAATAGCATGATAAACATACACATTCAGAAAACCAGGAGAACAGAAGCAGCTGAGCTTCATATATATTTGCACATATCTGGGAAAACTCAAGAAGCACGTTTGGCTTTAAGTGTAGGACTGTAACAATTGTCTGTGCTTAAGGAGATGCTGTATTCTGTCTGAAGCTGACATGTTCTTTTTCTTTAAATGAAGACAAATGAAGAGTTGGAAACTGAGATAGCTTCTTCCAAGATGAAAACAATTTTTTTTTTTTTGAGAAAAGAGGGAAATGCTAACTACACATCTCTGTCCTCAGAACCTATTCAGTCCCGCTGTGCAGTGCTGCGTTACACCAAGCTGACAGATTCACAAATCCTTGCAAGGCTTCTGAAGATTGTAGAGAAGGAGGATGTACCTTATACAGATGATGGACTAGAAGCCATTATCTTCACAGCCCAAGGAGATATGAGACAGGTAAAAGAAGAAAGGCAATGAAACAAAGGCTTCTGCTTAAAGCAAAAAAAACCCAACCAAACCCTTTGAATTGTGGCTCTCAAGGATTTATCTTTGGAGAGGTAAAGTAAAGGGGATGTGACCTGTGTCACAGGTAGACTATTTGGTTTTGTGAGATTTTGAAGTGGATCTGCTCCTTAAAAGTGAGTTGGTGGGAAATGGATACCAAATTTGTGGGAGGAAACAAAATCTGCATACATTTGTGGTTTACTTTGCTTAATTGAAAGCTCATTATTTGGCATCATTTTCTGAAAAGTGTATCATCTCAGAGGAGGGGAGTGAGAAGTAGAGCAATTCAGAAAACAAATTAAGTCTTATTTTTTTATTTCTTTCACAGGCATTAAACAACTTACAGTCCACGTATTCTGGATTTGGCTTTATAAACAGTGAAAATGTCTTTAAGGTTAGTAACCAGCGGAAAACAGGGATGCTAGAAGGTTAGCACTACAGCTGTGTGAGACCTTCAGGCAGGTATATATCCCTTGAAAGCGCTTTGCCAGTTTGCAGGCAGCACTATGTGTGTAGTGATTACAGCATTAGGCTGTAAAAAGTGCACCTGCCTTTTGAAAAGAGAGCAAGCACTTGCCATCCCTAATGGCACATCTGAGACTTTGTGGCTTTCCAGCTTCTTCAAAGCACAGGAATCACATAACTGCTGGGAAATCTCACCGTGATAACTTCTGAATCTATTACTTCAGTGCTCACATTTCATGCTACTGAGTCTGCCATGGCAGGACAGCTGTGTTACCAGAAAAGTGATATTACTTCAAATTTAATCTGTATTATAGAATGGATCTGATTCAGTACTTCAGCTGCATAGAAGCTTGGTGAAAATACTAGGGCTTTCATGCAGAGTATTCTAATATTTTAAAGTGTAATATTTCTCTTTGATATAGGTATGTGACGAGCCTCATCCTCTGCTTGTGAAAGAAATGATACAACACTGCATAAATGCAAATATTGATGAAGCATACAAGGTTGGTTTTCGTGTGTGGTGTCTGCATAGACATTTTTTTCTCTACAGAATTCTTGTTTGTTTTGAAGAATTCAGTGTGTGATGGTTTTTGGGCTAAGGACAATACCATGCAGATAAGTTGATTAATTAAATCCTTTTTATGCAGAGGTCTGTTCAGATGAATAAGCCAACAAGCGAAAAACCAAGTTGTATTGAAATTACTTGCTAAAACAATTGAGGTTAAATCATTTGATAAATAGTACATGCAGTGCCAGTATTTATATACAACTGTTCCAAAAGTCAATATACTTGACTCACCTGATAAATTTTGCAGATAAATGAGAGATTATTCTTGCCTGCAGATTCTTGCCCACCTGTGGCGACTTGGTTACTCTCCAGAAGATGTGATTGGCAACATCTTCCGTGTGTGTAAAACCTTTCAAATGCCAGAATATCTGAAACTGGAATTTATTAAGGTTAGTACTAACCTAGTTCTTGGTGGAGGTTTTTTTGTGCCTTTTTAAGAAAATAATGTGATCCCTAATACAGGGGAAGCCTCAGGGTTTTCTCTTTGAGATTTACTATATATTAGTCCAAAAAAAGTATTTCTTAACTTCATATTACAGCTTTCTTTCCCACTCTGCATCATCAGTTTGTCAGTTAGAATGGTCACTTGAAGTTTAAAGTCTAATCACCCTAGAAGTGCCAAACTCAGTGGTCTACTAGAATTAATAACGAATTCAGACAGCATTATGTTTGTTATTTACATCAAAGCCTCAAATAACTCCTTGAGAACTAAGTGCATAGTTGATTCTAGTCCAATAGATAGTAAAATATTAAATTATATTAACAGCCAGTTGACACATGGTAAACTGGTGTAATGGAATCACTCTTCAGATATAAAACCTGTCCTCAAATATATGCACATTGTGGGAGGGAAATACAGGCTTAGATTTAAAAAAAAGAAGAAAAAAATGCATTCTAGCTGGTCTACATGAGAAGATAAGCATATCTAAAGTTCAAGTGACTCTGAAGTTGGTCTTTTAGCCGTAAGGGATATGTTCTATTTAGTCATTAGTCCTACTATACATAGACTGAGGGAGGACACCAATGTCTTTATCACCAGGAAATCGGATACACTCATATGAAGATCGCAGAAGGTGTGAACTCACTTTTGCAAATGGCTGGACTGCTGGCCAGGCTGTGTCAGAAGACCGCAGCCCCTGCAGCAAGTTAGATGTTTGACCGAGCAGGAGCCTGTGTTCTGGAAGGTGAAGGCCTGGCGTGCGAGGTCAGCGGCTCTGTGCATGTCCTGGATGTGGCAGATAAAGAGCCTGTTCCCTTGGTTTTGCTCAGTTGCAGAAAAATAACCAGGTTCTATTGTAAAAATCTTTTGTATTTTTTTTATTTAGACCAATAAAGGTTTAAAATGTACTTTAACCCAGGAACTCTTATCTGTTGTGTAACTGAGGTGGAAGAGAGGACTGTGACAGTCTGGAGCAGTAAGGTCTGTCGTTTGCACTCCACAAAACTCCTACTGACAGTGGTACTGAGACCTAATGGCAGGAGAAACAAAAATTGAATCTTGTCATTAGTGATTACACTTCAGGCCTGGTCATGAGTGGTGGTCTCAGCAAGACCAAGAAGGAAAATCTTTTGCTCAAAATAAGGCATTTAATGAAGTTATAATTGAGGCAGGCTGAGCAGGCACCACTCCTGGGTGCTGTTTGTGTGCTGTGCATAAGGAAGATAGTCTCACCATATGCAGGAGAAATATTACACATTTGTTAATAGTGCCAGCTCTTTATTGGATATTTCTTTTTAAAATTTACCAAATTCTGGGATGCTCTCCATTTCAGTTCCCTTTTCTATTCTTGCTGTCCAGGTTAGGCAATGTCATTTTACTATAGTTTCAGCCTACCAAAAACCTACAGGAACGTCTTTTTCCTGTCTGTTCAGTTTTGGAAACCACCTTGCCAGTGCAGATGAGCAGTAATGTGTGAAATGCAGTGTGAAGGCAAAAATGAATTTAATTTGACCACCTCCATATTGGATATGAGATATGTGCAGAGCTATCTTAATTTAAGTATGTTCTGATTATAGCAGTCAAACAAAAGATGCTAGAGGTACAACTTACTGGTGCCTGCACTTCACCTTCCCCATTCTGCTGAAGTTTTACACCCCAAGTATTCAGCTGCCCACACCACAGCTGTCTCAGTGCCAAATCCATCTTCACTGGCTGCCTAAGTTGGCTTCAGACTGGCCCCTGCACTGAGCAGTGGCTGGTTGCACCCTGTTTCTCTGACTCAGACACAGGGGCAATGAGTTGCAGCAGCAAGAGCTGGTAGCATCATAAATTGCCTGTCAAGACTTTCTGCAGTTCCTCTGCCAGAGCCTGAAAACAGCCCTTTTTAATTCAAAGTGCAGGACAGCAAGTTAATTGCCAGCTAAAGCACAGGCACATTTGAGCTTGTTCCCAAATGGAATAAAGCAAACAGCTCTCAGAATTCTAATGGATGTAATACACAAAGTAGATTCTTCCTTCACTAGATATTCATCGAACTTACCTTTTGATTCACAGCCAGCAAGTTATCACTACTAGCACAAACACTGTTAAACATACAACTAATAATTTAGTATTAAGGGACTTAAGCTGCTGAGTTCTCTACAGACACAACATTAACAACTTTTGTCCCCAGAAGCTTAAATAAGACACATTTAATGAGTAGGTTAATTTTGCTTTGGCTATACATCACAGCCAGCCTACTCTGTCTGTGCTTTCTAGTTAAATCACTGCTGAACAGGGAAAGAAGAGGTGTTACTGCAGAAGATTTTGTATTTGGAGGACTCATAAGGCTGGTCCTTACCCCTCTGGATGTGCCTGCCTTTGGGTCTGCTGTGTTGGTGCCAGCAGAAGGGTGAGGAACGCGGAGGGTCACAATTCCTGTTCCTACCTGGTTTAAGTGATTTGCTTCTTGACTATTCATTAGCTGCTTCTCAGCTCTGCTTTGGAGCCAACTCTCTTCTGGGCTGATCCTCTGCAGCACTGGGGGGACATAACCATACACACTTCACCTGAGAAGAGGACTAGTGTCAGCCTGAGAGGCCATCCCTGAGCCTGTTGTACCAAAGGTGGTTGCTCACCCTCTCCGAGTGCAGAGCTGCTGCTTTCTGGTTGCTGGCTAGGGCTCCCCAGCTCCATTTGAGAGCCACACCAGTGGTGCCAAAACTACTTTTCTGATGTGTCTTAAATTGAAAACAGGAAGTGAATTGCTCACTTGGCTGCCTACCTAATGTGAGGAAAGAGATACACAGGCCCAGGGGAGATGCCATTTCTCCTTGCATTATGTTCAGATAATACCAGATCTGGCAATTTCAGTTGAGCACCAGAAATCCTTGCACACCTAAAAATGAGTCCTGAAAGGACAGCACTTCAGTGAACACTCACACATACATAATCACCCACCACAAAAAAAAAAAAAAAAAAAAAAAAAACCAAAACAAAACCATAAGGTGTTTCAGAACAAGACTGTAATAACATTGATGGAAGTTCCTGTAACAGTCCCTGGATATCTTCCAGCGTAATGAGATCACTGGCTGAAAAGCACTTGAGGAGCTTTAGAAACTAAGGACTGATCTACCCCTCGCTACAGCTGGCTGTTCTGGAGCACTGCAAGGGGAGGATTTGCTCAGACTCCCAGTAAGAGGAGGGAAGATGCTCCATATCCAGCTCCTGCCCTGCCTGCTTCAGCTCTGCAACTTTCAAACTCAGATTTTGGCAATGGAGGAACCTTGTACCAGGAAAATGTAATTGGTGTAATCCACCTCCCTGCTTCATGAGGAGTGCAGTGTATCTTGTATTTTAATGTTTTGGCCATGCACTTACCTAAGAGCTAGAGCTTTCTGGGAGCTCTCTAGCTGGATTCTACTGTGTGCCAAGGATCTTTTACTGCTGCTAATCTTCTAATCACTTAACGGCTCCCTCCAGTTACGAGATGAATCACCAGTAGGTGTATAACATCACTGCCCATCACTGGAAACTGAGCTCACTCTTCCCCTCCAGCAAAAAATCCACAGTCCGCAGCACTTCATGGAAAGGGGGAGCTTCTTCAGGTGCTGAATGAGTCACCAAGGATGACAATGTCTCAGCTGAGCAGTAATGAAGGCATCTCCTTGCTTCCTTCCCTGCCTGTGAGCCTGTGCAGAGCCAGCACAGGCTGTGGCCGTCACTGTGTCTGCGCCAGGGTCACTGGGACATTGTTGTCCTCCACCTTTTGCAGAGCATTTAAACATCAGGAAACCAGTGGGTGTGAGTAGAAGCTGGGCTGGGAGGAGCTGGGGCAAGCAGAAAGCCAGGCTGTAGCTCTGTGTGTGTGTGTACATCCCGGGAGCACACTGGCTTTTCTGTTGGCAAAGTCCTGTGGAAACAGGAACAAATGCATTTGTAGGAGCTATAAGTAAATCTTCTCCTAAACCACACTCCAAACCACCAGCTGTTTCAGCTACATGAATGATGGCCACCCATGGTCTTGGTGATTCTGCTAAAAATACAGCCAAGTCCCTTGCAGCAGGAAGCACCTGACATCCCCTTCTCCCGCTCCACGGCTTGCCTGCCCTTAGCTCCACTTCTCTGCTCACTCTTACCCACCTGAAAAAGTCAATGTGGGCTGCAGCCAGAGTTTTCTGAACCGATTTTGAGGAAGAAGGCTTTTAAGGAGCTACATTTACTCCCCATAAGATCCCACACGTTATTCCGTGTCTCCTCATGTGCTCCCATCCCTGTCTCGCCCAACCACACAGACAACATCTGCATCATACCAAACCGTAACAAACCACCGCGTTTGCTTCGGAGGCTTTTCAATTTTAATAAATAAGTGATACAACGGTGCCAAATCTGTGCATCAGGGCTCAGGAGACAAGGGTTACGTTTCAGGGCTGACGTTCCTACAGCAATACTGAAAGACTGGGGCAGCTTCTCAGGCTGTGGCAGCTGTGGATCTGACCTTCTCAGTTGTTGCAGGGTCTTTGTATCATTCTAAACCAGATACCAAAACACAAGGGAAAATGCCAGACAGATACTGTGTATATCTGTACAGAAGCTGTGGGTAAGGCAGGGATTTAATCCTCTTTAGTCTTTAGCTTTTGTGAAGAGGTTGCTATCTCATTTAGCTCCAGAGAACCACTGCTGTGGTAAAAGCAACCTCTGCCTTGCCAGTTCCTCTCTTGTAGGAAGCTGCTCTGTAGGAGAGCATAGGAACTAAATCAGAACATAATCCTTATGTCTTAATACCATCATGCATGAGTCACCCTGGCAAATTAAGTAGCTGGCTGCATTACTGCTCAGCAATTTAAAGATTCATTTCATGCTTGACAGGAGAAAACATTGCACAGACTGGCCATCCTCCCTTGAGTAGACATGCAGGGAAATGAGATGGGATCACGAGAGCTCTTGGCTGGCCCTTGGTCACTGCCAGGCAGATGCTTTCTCCAGTTGCAGGTTTGCAGTTGGACTTTTGTAAGACTTCAAGCAGAGGATTTCTTCCTTTCAGCAGCACCCCTTCTAGGTGATCTTGGGCACAATTTGGAGAAGAGATTTCACCAAGGGATTGAAATCTCCCCTCTCCCTCTGTACATGCTTGCTGGGTGTGCTCCTCCAGCTCAGCAAAGAACTTCTTCAGACTTGGCGCAGAATACTTGAAATAAGAAAGGAAAAAAATATTGAGGCCACTGACTTTTAATCCCTGTTTTCAACTTCTTATCTCTGCTGCCTGTTACATTTTCTTTCCAAACACAAGTAGTGAGCTACACTACAAAATGTCCACGTCTAAGCAGAAGCCCCAGCCGTGCTCCTGGACGATGATCCCTGAGCAGAGCAGAGGGCAGAGAGGTGCCAGGACCTCGTGTCTGAGTTCACCCTCCCTTGGTGGAGAACTTCTGCTGGCATGTGTTGGTTGGACGTGAGGGTTTTATAGCGTTACTCTGCTCGCAAAGGCTGTAACAGAGGCATCATCACAATGGCAAAAACCACACTGGCAACTTTAATTTACTTACAGAGCTGCTATTTACCCGTACAGCCACAACAGCATTGTGCTAGGGCTTACACCTGGAGGTTTTCCCAGCAAATCTGTATCCCCAGTGCTTCTCAGGACAACTATTCCTCCCTCCTCTACCTTCCCAGCATCATTTGTCACTTTGGGGGGTGGATTTACAGTAGCCCCTGTGCCCAGAGATCATCGCTCTCAACCAAATCAGGTGTGGTCATTACAGCAGCTTTGCTGAAGGGTTTGGGCATCTATCAGCCCTGATGGTTCCTCTCACAGCTCTGCATGGGGTGGCCACTCTCTCCAGTACAAACAGGAGAGCAGTCTAGTGCGCCCAGTGCCACGGAGCCACTGCCACAGCAAAAAGCCTTTTCAAAAGCCTTCCTGGCCACAAAGACATGCTGCTGGCTCATGGCCAACCTGCTGCCCACCAGCACTCCCAGGTCATTCTCTACAGAGCATCCTCTTACCTTTGCTTTGACAGAAGGGCAGGGCTTGACGCAGGGGCCGTGTTAACGTAGTCGGGCTCCTCATCCAGGCTCTCTGTCTGCAGAGCTGTGAGGGAGGGTGGGAAACACCGATCAGTACATGGGTCGATCTAAAAACATACCCGCACCATAGACATGTTGAGCCTCCCACCAGTATTCAGCCTTCAGTGCTAAGAAACCTCCGATCACAGCATCAAGATCTCCTTGAAGTGGCTTCAAAATGGTCACAGCGAATTTGCAAACGCTCTGTGAGCGTGGACAGCTTTTCAGAGCCCAAAGAGACAGAGCTGGATTGAATCTAGAGAGTGTGCAAACAGGATAACGACAATCAGTTTGCTCCCGGGCCAGACGCCCCGCTACGCTTCACAGGAAGCCACACATTAGATTAAACTGCTGTTTAAAGGTTGGCTTGAGAAATATGCACCCCAATTTCGGTGAGCTGACCCACTGGATGTGTGTGCTGCATGTTTGTTGGAGTGGATTAAAAGGCTGAGCTTGTAGCAGAGCACCTTCAAAATGTGAGAGGATGTAAGACATGAAGAGTGAATTTTTCTGTAGCATCCCATGGTCAGGATTTAGGCACGGCCATCTACATGGTGGCCTTTCCAGTACTAGAAACACCATGTCCCATCACAGCAGCGTTCAGTTACAAGCGTGTGTAGCAATTTGCACGATGTCTTTGGTGACTGGGGGAAAAAAAACCCCAAAACCTCAAGATGGGGGCAATGGCTGTATTGCCCTCAGTGTGGTCTGTCCTGTTCCAGCACGACAGGCACTCTGCCCACGAGCCCCATCTCTAAACAGCAACCCATCGCTGAGAACATACCTTCTGCTCGCTGCAGGTTCCATACGTGTATGGCTGCACTGTTCTCATAGTCTACAGCATCATCTGTGACTAAGAAGAGTTTGGACAGGATGATACTGAACAGCAAGTGGACTAAAAATGGACCTTTGTGAAACCCCCTCCTACCACCGCACCCCGACCGCCCCGTGCGCGTGGCTGAGTTTCCAGCCGGGTGGCTGCTGTCCTGCCACAGATCTGCTGATGCTGCCTCATCGCTCTTCCAGCCCTGACCACGTGCTTGGATATCTGCAGGCATGGATGGGGATCAGGCTGATCCCTGCAGCTCCTGCCTCCTCTAATCGCTCTGTGCAAAGCCAGGCAGGAGCAGGGCAGGCTTTAGCAGCGCAGAAAGCATTGTGTTAATTTGCTGAAGGAAACCAACTTGACTTCCTATTTTGGTTGCAACATCCCAGGACAGAAGCTGGAAACCCTTAAGCTGATATTGTGGTCCAATGTCATCCTCCAGCAGCTCACTGGCTGCAGCCTTCATGGGCTGGATGTGGTGAGAAACCTGAGCTGGGGGTTAGAATCATGATCAGTCTTGGCTGTAACAACCCTAAAAACCTAGAGGAGCAATGCAGACCCCAAAGCTCCTGAATTGCTGCAGAAACCTCCAAGTTAAAGGGATCAGCTTGGAGATGAGCTCTCAGCTGGTAAGGTATCACCATGTGCATTTTTGGGCAGAAAGAGGAAATGCTCCAGGTCTGCTCTGTCCCTGTGGCAGCCCCTCCACCCCAGCTCCACCGGCACGGAGCCAATAGGAAGAGCTGAGCCTGCAAACACTGGGTTTTCCCTCACTGAGCAGGTCACTGTCCCTCTCTGTGCTTCCAGGTACCTTTGTGTGACACACACGAACCACAACAGCACCACACGTACCCAGATCAGAGCTGTGAGACACTCCAATGATGACGTTTTGATAGGAATGGGAATCCTCCTCTTTCTCTGGTGGAGAGAAGACAGACAGGGGGACAAGGGACTTCAAGAAGGGTAGGTGACCTGGGAAGATCCCTCAGCACAGTCAGGAGAGGGCTGTTTCCCACAACAAAATGCACGTTAGCTAAAAAACTTGTTAGTCTTGGCCCAGGTTGGCTTGTTGTTGAGAGGGGTTTTTCCTTCCCAGCAAGTGTTCAGCTTTTGACTGTGATGTATTTTTGGGTTTCTCACTTTCTGGGCAGGAACTGGGCATGTAAAACCTAATAGCACCTCAACCCAAAATCTGCTTGAAAGAATTTCAAACCCCCAAGCTCTTTGTTCTGTTGCTGGTTATTTCAGCTCTCTGGATGGTCCTGTGAGCAGCTGAACCACGCGAGCTCCTGTTCTGCTAACCTCAAAACCTGCATCCAATGATGCTTGTATTTATTCTCTTTTTTCCAATCTCTTTTTTTCCTCCCCCAGTCTCCTTAAATAAAAAGTACAATTCATGTGTTGAAATTCATTTTAGAGAAATAGATTGATTAAATAGAGTCAGCACAGAAGAATG